CCTCCTTGATGCGGAAAATGAGGTCGTCCTTGCGCGAGAACTTTCGACCGCCGTCAAACACCTCGCGTATCAGCCAGCCCCAAATGTTCTCCATGATGTTCAAATCGTGGGCAATTGTRGGCCACTTTTGGGTCTTCAAGCCCTCACCATTGAGCAGCTCCTGTGCGGTGGGCAGAGCATGCGACATCCAATTGTGATCTTGCAGCACAAACTCTGTATTGCCGCCCAGTTTGCTGATAATATTGGGGCGCTCCCGTAAGATGGCCTCGATGCAGGATTCGGGCCGCTGCTTGGCGGACGAGACTTCCAGATGGATAGGGCCACCGACGCAGATCATCAGGTAGATGTAGACGGAGTTGCCACGCGGCCGCTGCGACAGCGTGCGCTCATAGTTGCGCAGATCGTGAAAATAGTAGGAGAAACCATCGGGGCCATCCAAATTAAAGCGTCGCTCATCATGGAAGATCACACGGCGCCAATGCTCCTCGCTCCACACGATGTACGTGTTGGCAAAGTTGAGACGCTCCGTTTGATTGTATTGCGAGAGGAGCGGCTCTGTTTTCAGTTTCTTGGCACAGTTGGCGGAGCCGGACGCGGATGTTGACGAGGCGGACGACGACGTTGAAGAGGATGACGAGGATGAACCTGACGACGAAGACGCTATCGCTGATGCTGACACTGATGAGGAGCCCGGCACACTGGCCGCAGCTGTGGCACGCAGCAGCGCATTTGCCGCGGCAGCGATATTGCTGTTGCTGCCACCGGCTATTGCTACTGCGCCGCGTGGCTGATGGCTGATGATTGTGGGTGAGACGCTGGAGCCGTTCGATTGCTGTGTGGGCGCATGGCTGGACGCAGTGCCTCCTGTGCTGGAACTGGCCGCCGAGAAATTTGAGTTCTGATTGAGCGCATGCACAGGCAAATGATTCTGTTGACTTTGTTGCACCTGCTGTTGCTGCTGCTGCTGCTGCTGCACCTGCACCTGCACCTTGTGTTGCCCGTGATGGCTGTGGCTCAGCTGCGTCTGTTGCTGTTGCTGCTGCGGCTGCTGTTGGTGCTGCTGGTAGTAGGGATGGTGATGATGATAGCTGATGTGCTGCTGGTGCTGGTGTATGGTCGGCTGTTTCAGCTGCAGTTGCTTCAGCTGTGTCTGCGACTGTGCGAGCAGCTGTTGCTGCTGCGCATGAGCTGCGGCTGCGTTGTTGTTGCCCGCCGGCTGCGCTGTGCCCACATAGTTGCCCTGATGATTCAGATAGTAGTGCAATGCCATTAGCTTGTTGGTATTATTCACTGAGCCCGCGCCGGCGCCTGTGCCGCCGCCCCCCACAGTGCTCATCGTGGTGACGGGCACCGCGCTGCCGCCTGCCACTAGCTGCACGCCTCCTGGATGTCCATGGGCGGCTGCTGCAATGGCGCCCGCACTGGCTGCCAACTGAGCTGCTGATTTCGGATCGTAAATGAACTTGTTAAAGTTCTGCAGATCGTCCGGACTGAGCACTAATGTTTTCATTTGAAGTCTGGATTGAATCGCTGCTATTTTCTTGTCCTTTWCCCTGGGSTGTTCTGTGCTGTTGCTGTTTATGTTTACGTTGTTGTTATGGATTTATGCTCTATGTACTTTCATGTGCGCAAACGATGTGGCAACTCTAGTATTTCGTAAATGCAGTCGACTGAGTGCGCGGCTCCAAGTTGATCACGCTCACGCACACGCACACGCACAACGCCAACTACAACGACGCACTTTCACGAATGCGCGCTGCTCGTCGAGTCGCCGCTGCCGAGATTTCCAAATTCGTTGTGCGCTCGAGCTCGAGTTGTATTAACGGTTGTTAAGCAACACCGAACACC